GCCCCCAGTACACCTGGAGCTTTACTTCAAATACAAGAAACAGCTGGTGCTCATGATTTAAGGCTCAATACAAATAGTACAGTGGATTTATTTTACAAGCTGTCTGGTTTGGCAAAAGTCCAGAATTCGTCAAACAGAAAGATAAGGATGATGATGACAATATAAATGATTCTTCATATATATATTATATATATATATGAAGAATATATATATTATATATAGGTAGTCCTAGTAGTGACATAAAAGAAGGGCAACCTCCATAGTACATTCCAGGGCTGGAACATACCCTCAACTTCACTCGCAAGAAATTTACAGTGGGGTCTTCCCAGCACCTGTGAAAATCAAAGGTGACCCCATAGACTTGACATGGTTGTTCGTGAAAGCTGGACCTGTGAAGGCTTCGGGCAATAATCCTTTGTATTAACCCAGTAAAGGGGCATCAATAACTATTTAACATGGGAACGCTCCCACAGAAAGAACCCCAATATTTCAAAACCCAAATAATACTAAAAATGACCTAGCATCCAACCAGCGCTTTTCTGTGAACTGTTGAGATCTTTGTCATTAAGCCTCATGAAAAATCTAAAGGAATTTAGGGGAAATGCCAATCATCTGATTCATAAATGAATGTCCACCTCTTGGTGAGAATAATGATTCAAGCTAACACACACTGAGAACTGCTGCTGCGGGATAAAGGTGCTTCATACTTTAATACGTCAGCTTCCTGAATACTCTTGAGACACTATTCTAAATACTACCATTATTCTCATTTTAAATATGAGGAAACTGGAGCTCCCAGAGAGTCCATCAAGACCCAAGGACACATGGCCAAGTGAAGGAGCTGGGCTATCCTACCGCTCCTCACCATCTGTAACCCAGAAGACAGAAGTGGATGTGGTCTGTGTGTCAGTCCCCAGGTGGCTGCAGTTCCATGGGTGGCTCTGGTTTCAAGTGGGTAGCACAGAGGTGACAGCTAGTCCCATCAACAGCCATGGACTATATCCCTCATCCTCAGCCACGTCACCGAGGTCTTCTTTTGGACCCCCACAAGACTGGGTGTAAGACTTGGGGATGGCTCAACAAACCCCACTCCACCCCCAGTACTGCAAAAAAAGAACTCAAAATACTTTTTTCCATTATCAGTGGACTGTCCCTTTTCGATCCTCACTGGTGTCCTTAATAGTGGAAAATTCCATAGAGACTCATTTGATGAGGTACGGAAGCCTTCCAAACTTAAGTGTGTTTCAGAAATTTAAGTTGTGTCCATGAATGTTTATGGCTCAAGTTTTCTCTTTTTTGGTGGGGTCTTCACTTAGAGAACAGAAAATATTAATTACTTGTCTCAGGCAAGAGACACACTGCTCTTGAGATTTTTCACCTGTAAAATGTGGATAATAACATCTAGCCTACATTTTTCATGTGGTTTGGGGAGTACCAAAAGAATACAAAGAAGAGAGTTAAGAAAAATTTTATACCACAAGCCCAAACACCGTCTTCTCTAACTTTCCCAGTCAAGAGGCCCCACCACCATACATCTCTCTCCTTCCAGCAGCCAGTTTTCTGTTATTTATGGCAGCTCTCATTAACCAAATTAAAATTTTTAATTTGTTTTCTTGAGTACTTTCTGTCTCTCCAACAACAATGAAATTCCATGCAAGAAGGAATTTTGTCTTCTTGTTTGCTAGTGCCTTGCCAGCATCTAAAACTGTCACTGGCACACTAGACGCTCAGTAAATGCATATTGAATAGGAAAACATTTTTGTGTTAAAATCTGCACCTTTATAAACATTTTTAAAACTGGATTTCAGGTCCATAGAAATAGATTAATCATAATCCTTGTTGGCTAATGGCATGCTCATCATTGATCCATGCATGGCCCTCTTTTATGATTTATTTAGCTATTGAATTAGGGTTTGTTTTTTTCTAAATTAGGTAAAAATACCTGAAAAAAAACAGAACCTGAATCTAACCGTAGGTCCCTGGCCCCTATCTCATCCCCCGCCTTTCCCCATCCAAGGTAATCATCACTCAGAATGCCAGGCTCTTCACTTCCTGTTGTCTTAAGTCCATTTCCCTAGAAGCAGAGCTTGAGATGAGATTCTTGTTTAGGTGATTTTTTTTGAGGGAGTTCTCAGGAGAAGGAGAGTTTGGGAAGCAGGACAGGATGGGGGGGGGGGCGAAGCTAAGGAAGGATGTGGAATCAGCTGGAAAACGTATTCAGAGTTCTGGAGCCCACATTGCACCACAGTGTGACCCTACGTTGAGGCAAAAGATTAGCTGTTTGTGCCCCCAAGTTAGTCAGTCATTGGCTGACATTTGGGGAGGTGATATAGGGAAAACAAGTGCATTACTTCCTGTGTGAGTCAGCCCCTATTCGGCTAACAGCAATTCTCCAGAGAGGGAGGGAGCCTTGAGCTGTTGGCAGCCAACACTCATAGCAGCTGGGAATCGGTACACTTGAAAAGGATAAGGGGTCTGAGCATAGATCCTATCTTTCTTCCCTTTCTCTACAATTTTATCAAATTTTGTATGTCTTCCTGAAAATGAATTATTACTTGCATTTTGTTCAGTTATTTGGAACTTTCTAGAAAAAAAATCATACTAAATTTTCTTCTGTTGTATATTTCAGTATGTGAAAATACCATACATTATTCACCCATTCTCCCACTGGTGCACTTGCTAGTTGTTTTTAGGTTTTTGCTATTATGAACAGTGTTGCTATGAACATTCTCATTATGTCTCCTGTTGTATATGTCCAAGAATTTCTTGGGTTTATGCCTGGGGTAGAATAGCTGGACCATAATGTGTGAACTTTAGAAGGTAATGCCAAACTATTTTCCAAAGTGGTTTTACACATTCATATGCCCACCGATAATAGAGATCCTATCATCCACCTCCTCTCCAACATTTTGATTTTTGTAAATTGAAAGAGTATAAAATGGCATCTCATTGCAGTCTTGACTCATAGGTCCTCAATCAAATACACCTGTTTCCTCTTCTGTGAAATGCTGGCTCGCAGCTTTTGTCCATTTTCTCTTGGTTCTTTGTGCTTTTCTTATTGATCTGTAGGAGTTCTTCATATGCCCTTTGTTGTGTGTATATGAATATAGTGAACATCTTCTAGTTTATAACTTTACTCCTCACTTTCTTTACATGTCTTTTACCTAACAGAAGCTCTTAATTTGATTGTAGTCACAGGTATTCTCTTTATGGCTTTTTATGTATTGCTGAAGAACTCTTTCCCTCAAGGGATCTAAAGGACACTCTCAGTCTTGGGGGTGAGGAGTCTACACATAGAGCCAGGTTACAGACCAGGCCTCCTGGGGCATTGCCTGGTCGGAGGCAACCCTGACTAGCCAGCACCAGTGACCAGCTGGCTGGCTGGCAGGTGTGTTCTGGTTATAGAATTGGATATATCATACTATTAGAGCTGGATACCATTAAAAATTCTAATCACAGACTGTAATTAACTTTCCTTGCTCTGACGCCCTGCTCACTAAACAACCTTCTGATTATAATTTGGCTTCCCATGTATCTTGCCTACAGGGAGAGAATGTACTGTGCAGACCGACGTGAGGATCCAATCCACTAAACAGTTACATGCCATGATGTAAATTAATAAATCCGTATTCTGATTTTATCATCTGCCTCATCTGAGCTCTGTGGGCGTGAGTCAGCATCCCCGAGTCTAATCAACATGGACACTGAGACTATCAAGCTCCTGAGCTGAAAAACTAAGAACTAGACCCAGGACCAGAGTGCAATCACCAAGGTAACACTGTGCCCTGGAGGCTCCTGGGCCTGACGGGGAGAAGGTCCTCCTACATGTCATGTGATACAGACAGGGATTAAAATTGACTTTTGACATTAGAAAGAGCTGCATATTCAAAACCATGGCTTGGTTCCATTCAGGTGAAGGCGAAGAATAGGAGATGATCATGAGACTCATATTGAATATTTATTGGCTTATGAGCACACACCAGATGCCGCACAAATCCTAGGCAGGAGGATAAGATTTACAGACATGTTTGAAAAAAGGAAAAAAAAAAGGGCAGATGGTATGTGCTGAGGAGGAATGGAACAAGAGAAGCCTGACTGATGAATCCTTGCTCCACCTTGACGCTCATGGTCCAGGATGCAAAATGGAAGTTGTCTTTAAAGACCAAAAGAAAAGCCAGGAGAAGGAAACACACGGTACACCAGACTGCAAACAGGAATGTGCCAGGGCAGTGAGATTATCCAGGCCAGAGGAGTGATTTAGGACCCGTAGGGTGAGGGCAAGATCTTTGAAGTGAGTTCAAAAGGCAAAATAGAGGTGAGCCCATTAGGACAGATGGGGATAATTTAGCAATCCTACTATTAGATCACCACTTCATTAAGGGTTCCTGGGTGAGCAGTACCTATAGTGACACAGATCCCTTTCTGGGACTAGTTACAATGTGTAACAAAGGGAAGAACGTGATCAGAACTGTTATATCTGGAAATTTGGGGCCCAGTGATGAGAAGCGATCCACTATTTAATGTTCAGACCCCAAACAAAAACCAGAAAAAAAAAAAGGAAGATGGCCTCTACTGATAACCCTACAAGATTTATTTTTCAAAGACAAATATGTTCAAGGAGTGCGATTAATTAAATTTCTATGTCACCTCTGAGACTGATCTCAAAGACAGGCATTGTCGCCTGCAGTGTCTCCTCTGGGGCCCCGGCAGGGCAGGGTCACCAGCCTGGCTAGATTGGACAAGGCCAGGGAACCATCTTAGATGTCTTTTTTGTTCTAAAAATGAGGTAGAGCCATGCCACCCAGTACGGAATGATGCTAAGTGTGGCCTGCCCAAGCAATTATGTGAAAGGAAGGGCACACAAAGGGCTCAGGAAACAGCAGGACCAAAGCACAGCAGGGTGGCAAGAGCGCCTCTCTGAGGTGCACCACCAGCATGCATGAACTTCAAGGATGAGGGCTGGGGAGGGGCTGACATGTGCCCCCCACAAAACCAGCGGGTTCTGAGTCCCACATGGAAGAACAAGCTCCCTTTAATTGTGGCTTTAGCGAGCACGCATACACGGGGAGAAATAACTGGAGACTGAGTGGGGCTCCTCATCTAGTAGAGGTTGTCCTGCACATGCTCCATGATGGTCTTCAGGCCCAACCAGGTCTCCTCTGCAGTGGGGATGATCTGGTTGGCTGGCAGGAGGAAGCCATAGTGCCCAGTATCTCTCAACTCAAACGTGAATGCATACTTGATGCCATTATCATACGCCCAGTCAATGCTGCTCCCGCTAGCTGGATCTGTAAGTCAGAAAAGAAAGCACCTTGGAACCCCAGTTCCTTTCAGGGTTAGATGAGTAGGCCTCAGGAGTTCTGCCTGCCTGTGGTTCCTGAGGGATGTAGAATTCTTTCTGAAGGTCATCAGGCCACCAACACACAAACACTGGCCTGATCCATACGTCTCGGGCTGTCCTATATGATGAATGTCTTCATTCATCTCAAACCAAGAGATTTTAAATCTTCGTGCCCACTTTGTCACTAACTCACTGTGTAGACTCCTTCTGGTCACTCAAAACCAATCTTCACAGAGTGTGATAGGTAGCCTCCAAGACAGCCCCAATGATCCTTGTCTCCTGGTCTCCATATCCTTGGGTAGTCCCCTCCGACACTGAGTGGGGCTGCCCTGACCTGGGTAACTAACAGGAGATTGCAGAAATGATGGTGTGTGACCTTCAAGGCTAGATTATAAATACTATGGCTTCCGCCTTGCTCTCTCTTGGATCATTTGATCTGGGAAAAGCCACGTGTTAGAGTGTGTGGACGGTGAGAGAGTGTCCTATAGACAGGTCTTGGTGGTGAAGACTGGAGGCCTCCTGCCGGTACTCAGCACCTGAGTGAGCCACCGGAGAAGCAGACCCCTCCAGCCCAGTCAAGCCTTTAAAGGACTCTAGCCGTGGAAGACACCTTGACTGCAATCTTGGGAGAGGCCCTGAGCCAGAGCCACCCAGCTAAGCCATTTTTGAATTCCTACCCCAGGGAAACAGTGGAAGAAAGTAAATGTTTATTATTTTAAGCTGCTAAGTTTTAGGATAACTTTTTACATAGCAAGAGATAACTGATACACAGAGAGAATGAAGCATAGCCCTTGGGACTTCCCTTTGCCAAAAGGCTGGAGAAAGGAAAGAGGCCCGTTTTCCTGCTTCTTCCAGCCAAACTCTACTAGAGCAGAAACTGGCTAAAAGTGCAAAGTGTGAATGACACTGAATAATAAAATAGTGATGTCAATAGCAGCTATCATTTATTGAACATCTCCCATGAGCTGGTCATCTATTTTGGAAAGTTTACATTTATGACCTCATTAATCTTTAAAAACTCAGTGAGGTGGGTATCACTGTCCTTGTTTTTCAGAGGAGGAAATCCAGGCTCAGAATGAGGAATTTATCTAAGGAAATATTGACAGAAAATGGCAGGACTGAAACTGAAACCCAAGGCCATCTGCTGAAAAAAAGCCCATGCTTTCCTCAACCTCCTTCCAGTCCATTTAGCATAGTACATGTCTGTTAAATGAAAACACGGGTCCTCTTGTTTTTCCATCATTTTCGAGGGTTGTTTCTCATGATATCACTTGTGATTTTTCTAGAGATGCTGCTTCTACCGTGATGACACACCCCCTGAGGTTATGAAACAGGCTCTCCTATAGTCTCTGAAATCCTTCCTCCTCTACCATGAGAAAATGTTGAATAAAAAACAGATGATGGCACCAGAAGTTTCTAGAGGTTGTTTATATGGTAAGCTCAACTATTTCAGAACACATATTAAATTCAGGAAGGAGGCAAAAAGTCCTCTGCCGAGCAAAGTGATCAAGTGCATGCACTTCACTTTATTTGGGTCCCTGCTCAAAGTCTATCTACTCTTTTCTTTTAAGATTTTATTTATTTATTTGAGAGAAAGAGATCACAAGTGGAAGTGAGGGGCAGAGGGAGAGGGAGAAGCAGACTCCCCGCTGAGCACGGAGCCCGATGTGGGGCTAGATCCCAGGACCCCGAGATGCGGGGCTAGATCATGACCTGAGCCAAAGGCAGACACTTAACCAACTGAGCCACCCAGGTGCCCCAGTCTGTCTACTCTTTTAACATTAATGGGAACATAATATTAAAAACACACTGTATTTCAGGCTCCTCGCTCAGCAGAGAGTCTGCTTCTCCCTCTGCCTCTGCCCCTCCCCCCCCAGTGCTCACTCTCTCTCATGCGCTCTCTCTCTCAAATAAATAAATAAAATCCTTTAAAAAATAATAAGATAAATTAAAAATTTAAAAATTTAAATAAATAAAATAAAAACCACACTATATTTTTCAACTAACATTTAAAGATTATTCCCTATTAGCACATACAGACACACCTCATTCATTTAAGGGGGGCACACTGTTTCATTGTGTGCCTGCACCAAATGTGTTTTTATTCAGTACTGTACTGACGGACATTTAGGTGCTCACCAGGCTTCTATGACTATAAACAATGCTGTCATGAACATCCTTCTTACTCACAATCTATCCACAAGTCAAATAAGCCCAAAGAACTTGTGTCCCAGCCTTTAGTAGTGAAGAGAAGGGGAGAAGGTTGCTAGAGGCAGGTGGCCTGAAAGCAGTACAGTCTGACCAGGGGAAGGAAACACGAAAACTCTAAAAAAGCAGACACAAGAATTCAAGAAGCAAAATGGGCTTGGGGCTGTCCAGCACAGGGATTGAAAATACAATATGGCACAGAAGGCCTTCAGGACATTACAACTGATGTTCAGAAGGCCACTCCGTCATGAAGAAAGGAGCTTCAATCCCTTGTACTTGCTCTGTTTAAAAAGGCAAGAAAGTGTGAAATTTATTTGAGAATTATTTTCAGCTAAAATGGTTGATCTAAGAAAAGATCTGGCACTTGAAGGGACAAACGTCGACTATTCATGTAGCACATGCAATAACCCATGGGATCGGAGTGTTATACAAAAATTGACTACATTTTTGGAAAGCAAGGAGGGTAAACAAAGCCTTTAAACAATACAGAAGATGTGCTCTTGAAAGACTTAGGAAATAATTATGTCTTTTGGATAGCACTCAGGAGAGCCTTCCTCCTCTTGTTCTGGAGGAATCCGATGAGTATCTCTTGATTTTGGCATAGCATACGCTGGGAAGAATGTGTTTGATGTGGGATTACAAGGCCATCCTTTAAACTGGTGTTTGACCCAGAAGCCAGGACTGTGGTGACCCACAAAGCTCTTTTGAGGGGGCCTCGTCAAAGGACTCCTACCAAGTCTCTTCACCTCTCTGCAGTCCTAAACTCAGTTCTCACTAATTAAGCAGAGGATGGAGAAACTCTCCTGATATGTTTCTTCTCTGAGGAGTTCCCATTTAATAACACTAATAATAATCAACCATGAATAATTAACGGATGGTCGCTGCAATTAGCCACACAAACACCAACATCAGGCTAACTGCTTTATGCAGCAAGGTGGCATATGAAACACAGACAAGAGCGCTGAGGTCAGGGTACAGGAACCCAGGAGGGGGGATGGAGAAACTTCCCAGAAGAGGAAGACTGAAGGGAACAGCTAGCTAAGGGTGGAGCAATTGGATGGGAGAGTTACAGTATGGAAGAAGACAGAAATGTCAGCATGTTTGCAGGGGGTCTGAGGGTGGACCAACTGTTAGAGACACTAGATGGGAAAAGAAGGGCACTAGCTTTAAAGGTGTCAGAACCTTTCTCCTCATGTCCATATTTTTATTTCCCATTGATAGCTAGACTCTCAGAGAATGATAATACTCTTCAATTTGATCTTTCAGTTTAAAGCTCGGGCTCACGGAATGAGGGAACTGGAAGGATCTCAGTAGGAACAGAGGGAAATGCTCAGATGAAACACTTCAGTGAGAAACCAAAACAAAGGTATTTCTCCTCAAAATGAGGCTGAAGCTGTAGGTAATGAGCCTGAAGACCATCTCAGGTTTGGAGTCTCGGTAGAGTTTGTTTGTTTGTTTGTTTTTGGCTTGATGCTAATCATTGCAAAGAGGACCCCAGCTCCTGGCATGCTGTGCTCCACCACGCGGTCACTTCTGATGGGAAGGTGAGGGAATCGCTTCCAGCCCTACTCCCGCCACCTCGGTCTGCCTCTCCAAAAGTGGGTTTCCTTTGAAAATGGAATGATGGGCTTGAGGAATTTTTTATAAACTATGACAGGATCTTTCATGGACTAGAAGGGACACTCTAGCACACTAGCAGGACTAAGCTCACCACGGGCACAGGACAGATAGCATGACCATGGTGGTGGTACTGATGAAGATGACCCCCTACAGCAGCCATCATCCCATAAGCTTGACGCAAATTCAGTCTATCACCAACAACAAAAATAATCAGGCTACAACATAGTAAGCCTAACTTGCAGCTCTTCTCCCAATTCATTGCAAGTTTCCTCTCCAAGCATTTTCTGAATAACCAAGACAGCGAGTACTTACAAACAGTGGTGCAGGTAGGACCCACTTGGTATGTAGTGCCCGACAGGGAAGCCAGAGCTTTGGCCGCACACCTCGCCACCTTGTCCTAGGAGGGGGAACCAGCGGAGTGAGAAAGAATGGATTCCACAGCCTGACATCCCTCAGCTGTTCTGCACTATGATGGTGTGGAAGATCCTCGGCCCCTCCCTCAAGTTTCCCTTCCAGTCTCCTTTTTTCCATCCAACCAGAGCCGAAGCCTGATACATGAGATGTGGAGGGCTGCTCACCAACCCAATCTAGTAAATACACCACCATCTTCACCTATGCTGAGGGACGGGAATGTCATGTTCATGAACATGTGGGAAGGCCAAGGATGTTCCAAAGAAAACCTTCCAAGAGTTGGGTATTCCCAGAGTGGAGGTAGAGACAGGGCCACCATATATGGATGTGCCTATGCCTATTTGAGATCAGAATCTAGCCCACACCTAGCATGAACCCTGCATCTGCTGGGAGGTTTAGAGGCTAGCTGTGCCCCTGGGCAGGGGGGCACTCTCGAGCTGACAAGCACAGAGGGAGCAGCCTGCAGTCACCCTACAGATGCCAGCCCTGCTCGTCAGTCTACCCTAAGTGCCTGTTCACATCCTAGGGCGAGTCATTATATGCAACGCAGAGCACCCCTAGGCTGTAGCCTGCACCCTACTTAAACTCTACCTTGACTGGAATGAGGAGCATCTCCCCCTTACCCACCACAGTGCCACCCACAGTTCTTGGCAAGCAGTGGGTCCGTCATATATTTTGGTCAGAACAACTGAGAAGGAAAGGCAGGGGTCAGGTGTGGTTCTTGAAACTCACAGCAAACACAGAAACAAGGAGAACGGCCTTCTTCCTGTCCCCAGTAGGTCCGATGGCACATTCCAAAGGGCAGGGAGAGAGACCAGGCCCTTAATGAAGTAAGTCCAGGCCCCCGGACTTTCCCTGTAAGCTGTAGAATGACTACTGTGGCAGCACCCCGGGGCCAAGCAGGCCCAGGTCTAGGTGGAAGGCGTCCCGTCACTCACCAGTTCATCAGCATCTGCGGCCTTCTTCACCGTGTACCCATACGGATACATAAGCAGCTGTGAGTAGCTGTGCAAGTCGATGAAGCATTTGAAATTCCCGTGTTCTTGGATGAAATCTACCACCGACTTCACCTCCACTTCCGAGTTGGCGTGGGGTCCGTGGTATACTTCAGAGCAAGGGTTGTCACTGGCTCCCTCTCCTATGGGGAGTGGCCCAAGCAGAAACATGAACCCATACGCAAGAACACAGAAATGCAGGACACTCAACCCGGAGGAAGGGCAGAAGGGGCTGGCCGTGAACAGGTCAATGTGAGGAGCCCCCCAGGAGCCTAGTCTGCAGTATGTATTGCCAGGCGGGGGGTGCAGATGTGGGAGGGTACTGGACCTGCCACAGCTGAGGAAGAAAAACTGGAAGGACTCCTTTAAATGGACAGAGTTGACCTTGTATTGCATCACTAACAGTTGTCATAAATAATTCATATCATACTTGACAGTGAGTTGTAATTAATAAGTATTCTAGATAATTAATATGAATACCAATTAATAATGAAAATGACTCCATTTATTCTGGTGTCAACTCATTCTCTTGGTTCAGATCTTAATGGCCAAGTGCTGCCAAAAATAATCTATTGTTGTGGCTAAAGCCTCGCATTTGACAGGTATTTAGAAATATTGCCTTCTGTACTACTTCATGACATAGCTCCCCGAGGTACTTGGCATGTGTGTAAAACCACCCCACTTATGGGAAGATCTGACTTAACTTTGATGCCCTCAGTTCCCACATTTCTATCAGCTCCTTTCCCACAGGCCCATGATTCTCCCTGCCACGGTGTGTGTGGCAGACGAGTGTGCAAGTGCAAGAAGTACGTTGAGGACAGGACATCAGCCCAGCTGTGGAAGAGCGAGAGAGAGCACTACCGGGTTCTGGAGACGCAAGGTGAGGCTCGACTCTAACTCTTGACTGCATGCTCCTGAGACTGTCTCTGAGCTTCGACTGTCTCCTTTCAGATAACAAAACTCACTCACCGGCTCAGGTGAATAAATAAGTTAACACACAGGAAAATACCTGGCAGCCAGTGGGCAAGACTGTAGGGATGATTTTTCAATAGCTGGAACTCAGAATCCGGGTCTCCTAAGCCTCGTGCCCTTTCCATGACACCAAAGGGCTGCATGTCACACTGACACATCTAAGGGTCAACTGCTAGAGTTGAAGCCTCACGACGTCCCACAATCTGGTCTGTTAAGTCAATGGTGCTAACTGCTCTCTTCCCAGTTACCACCAGGAGCCCTTCCACCCACCCAGTCACTCGCTTGGGAGAAACGGGGATGACCAGGGCACAGGGGGTGGATCTGTACATCTAAGACTAGAGCCCTTTTTAAAATAGTGTTCTGGGACGTCTGAGTGGCTCAGTCGATTAAGCGTCTGCCAGGGTCCTGCGTTGGGCTCCTTGCTCAGCGGGGAGTCTGCTTCTCCCTTTGCCTGCTGCTCTGCCTACTTGTGCTCTCTCTCTCTGTCTCTCTGTCAAATAAATAAATAAAATCTTCAAAAATTAAAAAGTGTTCTTTCAGGAGAACAAGAATTGCTGAGTCATTTCCTTTCAAAATTACCTACCCCCAAAAATGTTTAAAAAAAAAAAACAACCCGAGACAGAGTGTAAGGGATCGGCCCAAGTCTCTCAGTGAAGCAGGAATGGAGCCAGCCAGAGCCCCATGGACCAGGCTCCCCAGGGGCAGCAGGGAGGGAAAGCCACCTCCCCAGCCTACCTGCAAAACTAGCATTCCAATTTCTATTTGGATCAGCACCAACACAAGGGCTTCCAGGATTGTGGGACCGTGTCTTCCTCCATAGTCGGTTCTGAAAAGTCCACCAAGGAAGGAACAAGCATTCAGAGATGGTCAGGGCACAGGAGAAGTGAAGGTGTTCTCTGGGGGGGGTCTATGATGGAGCAAGCTGCCTGCAGCTCTGCCTGGAGGATCATTGGGGCTCCGGTCCTCACGGACTGATAAGCAGTCTCCTCTCGTCTCCCGGAGATAGGAGGCTCAGCCCTTTGGGCTCAGAGAGAAGGACTCCTCCAAAATGCCCTGATGAGAACTTCATAACGCAAGAACCAGCCTGATGCCACCTGAACCCACCGAATAATTTTTGGCTTTGGCAGAAGGAGGACAGACAGACATCGTATGCCCAGACAATCGCTGGTGGGACAGGAAGTGCACAGCAACTGTTTTATTCTTGCCTAAAAAACTCACCTGAATCCAATCAAACTTCAAGCTCTGACTACTAGTGAATAGGAAGGGAACGGGGGGGGGGTAGAGGAACAAATGACACACAACAAAGAAGCCATCAGCCAAATTGAGAATGTGAGACATTCTACAGGACAATTTACTTGGTTTCTCCAGCACATGAATGACATTTTTAAAAGAGATGTGTGTGGCAGGGGTGGGGGCGGGTAACTGCCATAGATTTGAAAAGCCTGCAGAGCCACAACAACCGAATACAGGTGCAAACCTTATTTGGGTACTGATTTCAACAAACTGACTCAAAAGACATTTAAAAAATAATTGGGGGAATTAGATGATATTAAATAAATTCCATTAATTTTTTTTAAAGTGACAGCCGTGTATTGTTTGGGGGTTTTTTTTGTTGTTGTTTTGTTTTAATTATCATCAACCAGAGATGCATACTAAAGAAATTTGGCATAAAATAACCTGATGTCAGAGATGTGCTTTTAAACAAAAGGAAAAAAAAATGTGTGGGAGGGGAAGAAATGAAAAGAAAATTGGTAAAGTGTTGGTAATTGTTCAAGATCCATGATAGGGAGTTCATTAGACTATTCTAAGAAAAAATATTCTCTGGTGACTCCCGGCTCAGGGAACGAGTGAAAAATGGGAGCCCAGGGAAGCCTGTAACATGCACACGTGTTCCTACAACTGTTCAGGTGCTACAGCAAGGAATTCAACAGACTCTTCTTAACTTCAAGCCCAGCTCATTCGGTATTACTCACTTGAGTTTGTGTGTACACATATCCGTCAGGATTGGCCACAGGCAACAAGAAAATATCCATTTTCTCCAAAATGGAGGTGATGGCTGGATCCTTCCCGTAATCAGATACAATCTAAACAGAGACAAGAAGCTTGTCAGCTATGCCATGGCCGGCTGGGGTGCCCGGTCTAAGCCTGTGTAACTCCCCCAGATGCCCCTCTGCAGCCCCCCTGCCACCCTCATACACACAGCTCTCTGCAAAGCTCTGGGAGCGCTTCAAAACCTGGGGGATCATGGCGTCATGATGCCATCAACCGCAACGAGGCTGGGCCTGCCTGGCTGATTCACTCCTTCCAGGGGGTGGGAACCAGGGAGGGAAGAGCCACACATCATCATAGTTTTGGGAAATCTGGGCCCCCATGCTAACAGACGCGGAAAATAAATCCTGCACACACAGTACCCCTCCTCTCCCTAGTGCTGCCTTAAAGCAGACTCTCGGAGCGGGTGGGGGGAGGTGACATGGAGGCAGCATGAGGTCCCTGAGGGTCTGGAGGGCTAGGGTGGGTCCGAGGGCAAAGTTCATCTGAGTTTTGCTGCTGAGAAGACTCGGCTCCCTTTCTGCGGGGCTGACTATGGGTCAATGTTTCAGGGCCACCTCTGCAGCTCATTAGCTTGCTCGCTGCCATGAAGGGACTTTGTCATTTAGCCACAGTGGCTTGACCAAAGGGCTCTGACCTTTTGCTTCTCCAATCGGGAAAGGCCCCCCAGCCTACTGTGTCTGTGCAGAGTGACTTCCCACCTCGTCCCCCGAGGCCCAGCCCCCTGGGACCCTGCGGAGGCACCCTGGGCCCACCAGAATTCTCAGCTAATACCGGGCGACATGACCTTCCTCGCGGTCCAGATCGCCGTGGCCTGCGAGATCCACTCCCGGGAGTGGATGCCTGCGTTCAGCCAAATGGCCGGCCGCCGCCGCCTGCCTTCTGCGGTGCTGAACTGTGGAAGGACAAAGAGGCCAGAAAATGACCCTCCTGCCCATGTCTCCACTCACCTTTCCTCTCCCCAGCTCACCCCTATTCATTTAATCCATTTAAGATAATTCAGAGACCAAATGTTCCTGAGGGCACAATCTATTTATCAGGCTTATCCGTGACCAGGGAGCTTAATTGGGTGGCTGGTGAGGCCCAGCCGCAGCCCTGGGCTGCTCGAGCCACTCTGGGGTTGGAAGCAAATGGGAAGGGGAAACTATTGCTATTGTGAATGAGAATACCAGTGTGATCAGAGATAATATTATGTCTCTTGAAAGACCTCGAAGGGCACCCCAACAGAGACACAAGAGTGCAGGAACCAGCCTGTTCTAGTTGATGCAATAAATGAATTTGATTTTAAAAGGAGGAAGAGAGAGGTTCACTATACCTCTTTGGAAATGGCATTAAATGAATTCTGGCTCCTGCCTTATTTAAGGGTGGGGCCAGGCCGCGTTGGGTCAAAACGTGGTGCGAATGAAGCCAGAGTCTCCATCAGGTTGGCAAATAATCTCAATTTATGTGGATTATTTTAGAGCGACCGGCTTGGTGGCAAATCTCCTCTGGCTGGTAATTCAAGCCATGAGCCTGGGTTCTTCAGGGCTGATATGAAGCTAAGGATCTGACAAATTCTTAGCACCTTCAGTTGTTCCATGGTTCATATCTCCAAATTCCTTTTTATTCATTTGGCTGGATTATTTATGTAATTTATGTCCCTGCCATAAATTCTCTACCTCTTTTGCCAATATAGACCTGAATCTGTTAGAAATATCTAGAAATTAGGCTTTGTGCAGCCAAGGATCATAGGCTGGGCTTAAAATTACATCAACCCTAAAATTAGCTTCCTAGATTGCTTTTCCAATAAGTACCCCTAAAAGCAGAATAGAATTTGTAGAACTATCCCAATTTGACTTGCTTTTTAGAGGTAAGAATGAAGGCAAAAGATTGTGGCCCATCTGAGCGCTTTCTGGAAGGCTAACCGACCCACCCCACCCCCATCCCCACTACCCCTCACCCACTCCACCACCACCACCCTACCCCAGTTGATCCTGCCTTTCATTCAAAACTTGCAATGGGATGGACTCCTTCTAAGTTCTAACTCCTTCCATGTTAGGCAAAAACAGGGGACTCTCGGTCACACCAAATTTGAACCTCAGTAGATGTCTCCCCACGTCCCCGAAGTCAAGGAGAGCCTAAAAACCTGCCTTCTTCAGAGGTCTGAGGGCTGGGTCCTGGACACAAGGGACCAGGAGCCTGAGTCCAGTCAGGCCTCTTGAAGAGCCTGGGGACTCACCTTTAGTACATACATGGGCCGGTTTTCAAATGAATGCCCAATCTTCACCCTGCTCGCCAACTCAGGAAAATCTCTGGCAATGCTGTCCATCTCACGGTAAATCTGAAGCATGAAAAGGTGAACTCAGGGGCATTTGAAAATTTTTCTGGGTAGGTATCTGTGAACTTCATCTTACGGATCCCAATGACTTCTTCATTGATTTGATCAGTGATTAGATCCAGCTCTGTGATCTCAGGGTTGACAGTATTATCACCATGGAATACTTATTCTTGAAGAACTGCCTAAAGAGTCCTTCTCTACAACATTCTAGAGAATAACACATTTTATCTGTCCATAAAATTATAGGCCACTAAATGAGAGAGACTTGTGCACATACTGCTCTAGCAGTGCAGTCCTTCATACCACACCAGACTGGATGATCAGCAATTGCCCCATTTAGCCAAGGTTCTTGAAAACGGTCCTCTCCAAACCTTTTGATCACTTCCTCCACCAGTTTTTTTTAATTAGAATACACCATATATATATATGTTTTATAATATACATATACTATGTATATTACATATACACAATACATTATGTATACCACTGGAATAATGTATCAAATATATTATGTACATTATAAAACAAGAAAAAAGAAGCAAAATGGTGGCATGAATAATAAATATAAACGTATGTGGGACGTAAACAGAAGTTGTAATAGTTTCTTCCTCCATCCCGGTGAAGCATCTTGCTTACACCCTGTAGTGCAAGCACACCACTTTGGAGATTCCTCTAACGGCCTTAAGAGAACGAGTGAAGAGCTGTAAATCACGGCTACAAATGCTTCCATTTGGTTTCAATTTCTAAAAAAACTTGATATATAGAGTTCATCCATCTTAGTTGCTCAAAACTTCTGAGGGCAAAAGAAGGAAATAAAGAAATTCATATTTAGATCTTAAAAGTGGAAGAGGGAGCTTTACAGAGGAGAAAAATACACAATCAATATTGAATAAAACTCCAGCTTCAGTGGTTTATCAGAGTGGCAGTCAATATGGCAAACTGAGCAGAAGCGAGAAACCACCCCCCAAATATATACTCAAGCCAGATAAACTACAATGAAAATAATTCACAGCCAAGCTTAAAAATCAAGAAAGGAGACATTGTAGGGGCCAGAAGTGAGAAGGGACATAACCAGCTGAGTAGAGGGCAGAAAATGGAGCCTCAGGACCAGATATCTGCCTTAGGCACTGAGGGTTTACAGCAAGTCAGGAATAGTGATTGAGGGCACAGGACCGGGGTGGGCCAAGGAGCTAGAACTTGAGAGCTGAGAACCATTCATTCCAGCCATGAAAAGGGCCTGGAAACTCTACCTACTGACCCTAGAAAGTGAAGCAAAAGCCGGATGCCCAGCCTGAGCCATGAGAGGCAAGAGAGTCCCCCCATGAGAAGTTAAAATACCAAGCTATATAGGGAGGGAGGGGTCCAAATTCACACTGCCAACATGAGGGGGACACTCAGCCGAGAAACTAACAGAAACAATGGCAACCACAACAACACACAGAAAATCTGAAATTGGAAACTCTGGCTGAGACAGACATAAGACTCCCACCAGAGACCCAATGAGGCCTAAGCGGTTACAGGATGAGGGCTCTTCAAAGCTGTTTTTAGAAAGAACTGCATGTGATCAAGCCAAGAGGGAGACAGTACACTGAGGCACAGCAGAAGGCCTCATGGGGGGTAGGGGGGCGTGGGGGAAGCTGCAATCAGACGGCAGTGGCCCCTAAAGCCAGAGAGCAAAAGCAAGTGCATGAGAAAGTGCGGCTCCCATAGCAGGCAGGTGAGGGGATGGAGTTCCTGGGGTCTCGGGTGACATTTGCAACCACTTAGCTCAGCTAGGGAGTGTGCCATGTTAACGAGGCTCACATCATGGGACTGAGCCCTGTGTGAGCCCTGAGCTCTGCTTTTGTCCATGGCCCTGGACTGAACTTCTAACTTTATCCAGCTGTTTTGCAGATGTATGTCATTGGTCACAAAAGGGATCAAGGGGCAGTGCAGTTGGAAGTGTACACAATAAACAAAGCTACTGACAATCATGGGAAAGAAGTGAAAACAGTTGGTCAACCTTGGAAATAATCCCTCATCTAGAAGAAAAACAACTCAAAGTATATGCCTCACAAAAAGCATGCCAGGAACCCCATCTTTGGATATAAAGAACAACGTGTATGCAGGTATGGGAAGGAGAAAAACAATTTCATTTTGAGGTGTTGTTCTGAGCTAGTAGAGAGTGTCCAGACTAATGTAGAAGACATTAGGGGTCGTAAGGAAACTGTAGGATACATGATGCAGTCCCATTCTATAGCCCCTCTTGATTCCTCAAGTTCTAGTATCATATTAAGTGGTTCTGCTCCAAGTTTTTTACTGGAAGTGTTGGCTTACCTTGAAAATCAGTCATCTATATAAAATGGTTTTTAACTAAACACAGCACCAAAACACATTATAGAATATGCATTATAAGTAATCATGATAAATGCGTGGAAATATTTGGTTAACCTTGGAAATAACCACTTGTCTACTTGCCTGGAATAAGTAACATTTTAATCTGGGTGAGTAAAATACAGGGATTATGGTGGGGTATAAGAAGGTTGAATTACAAGGATGGAAATGATTGTAATTATTTCATGGTTTTCTTTCAGGGGTTGCCTTAGAAAAGAAGGATGCATGTGGGAGAAAATGTTCAGTTGTGTTTCACTATGCTCTTAGGTGCTGGTGGGAGATAAACAACCCAAGAATTACAAAACAAATTGAAGTGTTCACATTTTAGCCCCTTAGTGAAGGGGTACTGTGCTAAGGACTAATGCCTCCTAGAAGTTAGGAAAGGGGTTACAAAACCCAGGATGCTAATGACCTTGATCTTAACCTGCTCTGAGACACTTACAGCTTCCAGGGAATGGTAGGCCCCATAGTTGAAGTTATTACTGCTCCGCTCTTGTCCTTCATTGCGTTGCATTTCTTCATCTTCATTATCTAAAAGGGCCTAAAACAGACACGGCAACGCTGTGATGTGACCCACTGGAGATGGAGGTTCATGTTGTTTCTGCCATATTTTGGCACAAGCTGGCCAAGATGGCGGCACCCTTGGCACACAAACGTCAAGGTGTGAAAGGCGGTCAGATTTCTTCCACATATCTATAAAAGCTTATTTCTTGGCACCCAACGTACATCACCCCATTCAAAACCCACTTACTCCCCAAAAGCAACATATGTGCTATTTGGTTATTCTATACTATGAATTCTCTAGACATCAGCCCGCATCTGGTATCCAGTGTCTCTGAAATACACAGCTTGGGAAACCATTCAGAAACAAAGAAATTCTTATAACCGCTCATACTTTGAAGGCTCCTGGCAGATGTCCGTGACATGTGAGGATGATTAATAAGCTCACAGCTGCTCACGCCATCAGGAAACTCCCGGGCCAAATCACCAATTAGTCCATAACCCACCTCGGTGAGGGAGAGAACATGAGCCAGACACTGTCCTGCTGTTCAGATACAGGTCCTGAGGCTTGTGTCTGGCTTGGGTGGTGATGTTCCCTCTGCTGAGAACTATTGGTGACATTCCCTCTTTCTCAAAAGATACTTTTTATGACTGGTCTCCAACACCCCCAGCAACCCCCCCGCCACACACACACACACACACTTTTCTTCCCTCTGACTTCAAATACAACAAGGGAGAGAAGCTTCATACTTGTGGGGCATCTATGACAGGCCAAGTACCATTGGGCATTTCACATACACTTAATACATTTAATCTTCTCGATAAATTGTATGAAGTGGGCATCGCTGTTACCATTTTACTGATGAAGAACCAGAGGCTCAAGACGTTAATAGCTTGTCCAAAGTCACACAGCTGATAGTTAGCAAAATCAGGATTTGGATATAGATCTGTCCAGTTCCCTAACCTATGTATGCCCTTTCTACTACAACATGTTCCCACTAACAAGTCACTGCATTTTACTTCCATGGACCTCAGTGAGTTCATCTATAAAATGGAGAAGGATAAGACCATGACTTGCACATGTCTCGGGTCCACTCTGGGTGCTTTGTCCTATGCAGGACCAGTTAGGGACCTCGGCCTACCCACCTGCAGGTCTTCAATTGTCACGGAGTACTCTAAGCCCTGGGACTTCAAGAAGGATTTCACTGGCTGCAGACTGACAGATGGGACCAGGACGTCCATGGGACGACTAAAGGTGGAGGGAGATTTCCAGACGTTGAGCTGAAGAGAATGGAAATAAAACCAGATTAAAGGACAGTTCAGGTAAAAGGCACAATGAGCTCATTCTTCTAGAACAACTGCCAAAAGCAAGGGTGATCCCTGAGGAGCTGGGTTCTGCCCAAGGGCAAACTTTGCCCATTTCACAGCTGTGTCTGGTCAGGCCTACCCAGAAGGCAATACCTGGCAAAATCTAAGAGGTAGTAAGTAGTAAGTAGTAAGAAGGCAGATAGAAAGATAGAGCCCACCGTTGAGGCTGCCCAGCTCCCAGGACAGCAGTGTTGTGATCTACAGCACTTCTCCCCATCAACCCTCACAATCGTGTGAGGGCCTGTTGACTAATACAGGACTATACTAACAAAAACTCTCCAGGAGTAACAATGCCAGGGGTGCAAGAGCCTCCTCTCACCAAAGTCAGAGATACCCAAGAGGACAAAGAACTGGTACCTTAAGGTTGTCTGAATTCACTAGCTGACCTAGTTTGCTGATCTCGTCTCCATTTCTGACGTTAATCCTAAAAACTTGGTCCCTGGAGGGAAAAAAAAAAAGCAAAAGATAATGGTGAGCTTTCAGCTGGCAAATAAACCCCAAGCCTATGTCCCAGACATAACTGGGCCGAATGAGAGGAAATGGTCTAGTCTTTGGTTATAATGTATAGCCATTAAAAATAAGACTACGTGGCAAATATGAAAAAGTGCTTATAGTATAACTTGAAGGGAAATATTAAGTGAAAGAGCAGGACACAAAATTGTATGTATGCCATGATTACAAGTATGGAAAAAGCAGATGCATTGGAAGAAAAACAGACAACGGAAATATAGCAAATGCTGACAGTGCTTATGTCCGGGTCGTGGGATTATGGATGACTGACTTTTTTTACCCTTGTATCTGTTTTCTGTAATGTGGTCATATTACTTTATAATGAAAAACATATATATTTTGCAGAAAGGAATGTTCCTGAGTTACACGCAAAGCTAACTCAAGACATAACGAAGCACTTCTTCACTGTCAGGGGCGAGGACTGAAACTCTGGCTGAAGGTCCACGCTGGAAAGAGCTGGAAAAGAGAAAAGACCTTCCATCCTCAGAGGGTTAGCTATTTGCTGGGTGGTCTCTCAATCCTGTCCAGCTCCAGAACTCAATACAAATGCGTACAATACGGGCTAGGGTGCTGGGGCTGACTTGGGATTCAGTCCCCCCAAGGGGGCCCTGAGAAGGGCCCAGAAGGGAGCCGGCCAGTCCCGAGCCCCCCTTTGTTGTTTGTCCTGAACTTGCTTCATCTACACCATTTAGCTTCCGCAGCAGCGGCAGGGGCCGAGGCCCCTGAAGTCCTGTGTGTGGGTGGGAGAAGGCCAAGCCTGAAAAGCTGCCTTTGTGCTCTCAGCCGGCTCAGGGAGCCAGGGGAGCCATTAGGCCGTTGCTAGGTGACGGCCCGAATGAATCCGCACTCGACGCTGTCACATGCGTCATCCCTTTACACGAATGAATGCGGGAAGAACTGCTGGAGAGGGCTGTGGGCTGAAGGACCTGTTGACAGGGAAAATGGTTCTGTCACAGGGAGCTAAATGTGCAGCCTCACGTGGCAGATCCGCATCTTCTCATCAGAAAACCGGCTCAATCCAGATGGGACTCTCAGGGTTTCACTTTGTTCCGGGAGGTTCTGGAGAATCTCCAGGGGGTCTAGTCCAGCCCCAAAGAGGCAAGGTCCACCACAGAGTTGCTGCCACTGCGGGTGGCAGGTCTGGAGGAAATGCCAACGCCAAAGGGCTCACTTTCTCCCGGCTCAACCAGTCTCCACAGGGTCCTTGGAGATGGGCCGCCAAGCACAAGCCCTGGGAGCTGCTGAGGCCACAGTGGAGAAGCCACTGGCCTGGCAGGTCTCAGTCTGAACCCAACAGGCTTGCTAGGAGTTGAACCACAGCCCTGTGAAGATGGGGAGTCAAACCACCATTTCCCTGACACAGGCAAGCAGCCTCCCAAAAAAGGAACAGGTTTAAAACAGAAGGGAAATCCTTACTCCTGGCTAAGTACCAGGGCCCATCTGCCGAACTTACACTCTGTCACAACCCACCCCCAACACCCCAGAAAAAGAGGAGTCTTTAAATTGAGTGTTCTAGAAAGCACCTGTGCACTGACATCTCTATCCGCAAAATGAGGCATCTGTAAAATACAGCACTGACTAGAACAATGACAAGGAAGGAGGGGAGGGAAGGAACAGGAAGAAAAGAGGAACCTAAGAATAAGGGGCTCTCAAGAGTATGAAGATCATGTTACACAGGCACCCAGAGCATGCAGTTTATTTTTCCCGGAGTGGTGACTTCACAGCAGAACTTCCATACTCCTGGGCACAACCCATGTCAGTGGATCTAACTGGCCCTGAGCATGAGTAAATCCACAGCACATTTCATCATGCCCTATGAACCAAGCTACAGAGGACAAAGACACAACTGGAGTACAGAGACAGAGTGGAAGGGCTGGTGCAGAGTGGAGCCCTTCCCCACCTGTTTCTCCTCCACCTCTCCCTCCTCCACCCTCTCAGCTCCAGCCTTACTGAAATCCCAAATTCACCATGTCCTTTGCCCTTCCATGCCTGTGCACATGCTGTTCCCTCTGCCCGGATGCCCAGCCCCTTTCCTTATCTGCCTAGCAACCTCACACCCAGGCTTTAGAACCAACTGTCATCACCCATGAGGTTCCCCCTAACTTGGAGGCAACATTAGGGACAGTCTTCAGAGGGCACTAAAAAGAGGGGGGGTGGTTTGGCAGATCTAACACCATTCTCATGAGCCTAAGTCCATCAAAACCTAGAAGCAGAGAGAACGTTAAGTAGATGCCGGTGAAGGGCAGCCATTTTCTTGCCCTAATCATCCTTGTCTCTATTTGAAAAATGCTCTTTCCCAGTCCTGAAAGTGCAGATAGCTGAACACAACCTATCTCTGACGTCTGGAAATCCATGCAAAGATCTCAAACTCCCTGCAAATGGAAGGTTGGTCTGGGATTTGCATATTGGGATTTGCAAGTTGCCGTGTCTACCCCTGCTACTCCACCCAGGTGTTCTTGGTGCTCCTGGCGCCCTCTCATTCACCCTCACACTCATCCCACTTTTTTTTTAAAGATTTTATTTATTTATTGGACAGAGAGAGAAACAGCGAGAGAGGGAACACAAGCAGGGGGAGTGGGAGAGGGAGAAGCAGGCTTCCCACGGAGCAGGGAGCCCGATGCGGGGCTCGATCCCAGGACCCCAGGATCATGACCTGAGCCGAAGGCAGACACTTAACGACTGAGCCACCCAGGTGCCCCTCATCCCACGTTCTGATAGTTAACAGCCCCCCTGGTGCTGAGCTTCTATCCCTCCCTCGTTTCCATGCAGGCAAGCCAAGGGGCCTGTTCTTTGTGCATCTCTCGCCCATATCCCCGACCAGGCTTAGGAGCCACCACAAGAGTTGGTTTCACGGAACTCTTAAATGCCTGCCAACTACTGCTGATGCTCCAACCGGTTCTGCAACTACGTTCCTATTCTCTGCCTGCCCTGTACCTCTAGGCATTCTGGCCACCAGCCCATCCTTAAGATGACCAAAGGGCAGGACAGAAGACACCAGCAGAGCCAGACACTGGGGGGAGGGCAGTAGGGCATTAGGTGGAAGGAACAAAAGCTGGGGGGTGAGAGTGGGGGAGAAAACCCATCACCTCCATCTCCATTGGTACTGTCCCCCCTCCCAGCCAACCTGTGCTCTGGCTTCCCACCACTTGAAAGCTCAGAGAGCCCAGCTTCCCCTTGCTAGAAATGTTCACTGAGCTGGGTGTGTGGGACATGTCTATGAGCCCCTGGAAGGATCCCACCACCTTTGCTGGGTTCCCTACTATAGGGGGAGAACAGATTTTGGGGTGAGGATGACACCATCAGTTAAAACCATCTGCAATTAGCTCAGACACGCAGCCCTTTCTGTGTAAGCTCCCATGGTGGGCACTCCAGCGCCAGGCCCAGCTGTCTCAACTCAGGCGTCCGCTACGTTGTAAGCGAAGTCTGCATCCTGAGAAATAAAGATTTTTCCAGCCATGTGAATAGCTGCAGTGAGAGCCTGACAGCTCCGTGCATCAGCCACACGGCAGCAAGCATAGTTATTACACACCTACTGCTGAGCTGCCTGTGGAAAAATCTCCTTCTCTGGCCACCTGCTATGCCTAACCCCTCTGAGCTATTTGACAGTAGACACCAGGTGTGAAAAGAAGTCATTACCATAAAAATTACTCAATCTCATATAAGTAATTACCTCAATAAACAACCCCCAAGTCCCTTTAGCCAGCTAGCATATTAGAGAGTAAACTAACAGATACAGATATATCTGTGAGATAGAGGATTCTATCTGGAGATTAACTTGTGTTATAGCAAAAGGGTATGGGTTTTGCCTTCGGAGTTCCAGCTCCCCTGCTTACCAGCTAAGTGGCATTGGGCAGGTTCCTTAACCTTTCTAAGGCTGAGTTTTTTCATGTTCAAATTGAGGAAAATAACACCCCTGCCCAGCAGAGTTGTTGCGTGATCCAAAAGATAATGCACATGAAAGCTCTTTGCAAATGGCAAAGCATTAGGCAGTAACGAGTTATTAGAATTCCATCTTCTAGCAAGGGACCATGGCATCCTTTCATCTCTCCTACCTCCCAAATGTCCTCTCCTTCACAAACTGCAAAGCATTCTGCATGGAGCGTGTTGAGCATGTGTGTACATGTACACGTGTGCACGCACACACCTATGCACACACGGTGTACAGGTGTGCCCTTACATGTCAAGTCTCACCACTGTGGCTAGGCAAGAACTAGTGAATCTCCGTGTCCCAGGCGCTGATGAGAGAGCCCCAGCTCTACAAAGCCTTCCCTGCTAACAGAGAGGTGAAACCAAAGAGCCTAAGACCCAGGTTTTCCCCTAAGCATGGCAGAAATTAGAAACAATTTCTGGGAGTTCTTGGTACTTCATAATATAGAAGTAAGAAAGCAGAAGAGGCCTGAACCTGACTTTAGAAATAAGAACTGGGAAGGAAAAGAACTGGCAGGAGATTAGGGAGCCAGGGAGGGACTATAGAGGCCATCTTGTCTGATTTCACAGATAGGATTGAGCCTAAGAGAGAAGGAGCTTGCCCAGGATGACACAGGGCAGAATTGGGACATGAGCTCGTGTCTTCTTTCCCAATGCCAACTCCACTTGAGATATAATCAGCCACTCATTTTCAAATCCATTTGGTTCCCATATCACTGAACCAACCAAGTAATAATAATAAGTCCAAAAGGAACTTACCCAAAAAACCTTTTTCGGCCACAGATGCTGAGCCCGATCAGGGCCCCAAAGAACAGTATCCACTTCATGTCCCAAGAGTGTCAGTCATGGAGTGGCTGAGTCAAGCTGTATTTATAAGAAGTGTGAGGCAGACTCATGTCCTCAAAAATGCTACTGTGATTCCCAAGCACCCTTGCAACTGTGATGGTACGTCAGCGGGCTCCTACCAATGCCTCTTCCATTCCTTTTGGGTGATAAAGGCCTCTTGATTTACAAGATCAGGAACTTGCTCCTCAGACTGGAAGTCTGTGCCAAAGGTGCCATATTGCTCATCGCTTGGTATTTAAATAGTGCTTTTTCAGTAAATAGGCAAGTCCCACAGTGCTGGAAAGAATTTATACTGAGAGGCCAAATTGTAAACCTGAAATGGAGTTACCTCTAGAGTTAAAAAAAAAAAAAAAGTGAAGACTATCAAAGAAACCCCAAGCCAACTCCAAGACCACACACTTGATAAGCCCTGTCAGAGAATTTCACCAGAGCAGGTCATGATGATGAGAGTTTGTGACCTTTGTTATGAATCTGACACCTAACTCTTATGACTCCACTAAAAAAGTAGAAATATATGAGGTCAATGTTCCGGAAGGAAGAAGTGTTAGTCTGGATAAAATATCAGTTTTCCTTGGGATCTGAGTAAAGGTAAGGCTTAATGGTATTATTAATAACGAGACTTTTTTACGTTTGCTAGACTCCGAGTCTGGTGTCCTTTCCACCAAATCACATCAGAATAAATGAAAGGCACTCATGATCTGCATGACTCCTTAGGGACTCTGAGGCCTTCAAGTCTGTCCTGGGAGCTCCAAATCCTCACATTCAGAGCCCCAAACCCAAAGCCTCCCCCATCCCACTGTCCCCATGGTCTACATCATTCTTTCTGCTCTTGCTCAAGGAGGGTGGATACAATTGATGGTCATTGTCGGGGGTGTTAAAGAAAAATTATTCTGAGACTTGTTAAAACTGTAAGGAAGACTTTATTCAAGATTATTACAATAGGGCTCACACAACAGAAGGGAGTAATTGTGTTCAACTCCAAGTACAGTAAAGAGAGCAGAGTGAAGGGAGTCAGTGGATGGAATACTGCTAAGAGGAAACATCAAGGGTAGGGGTCTTCTTGTTTAACTGGACTCATAGGTTCTTGCCAAAGGCAGACCAAGGACTTAGTCATCAAAGTTGGAGGATGAGGAATTCAACCAGATATCAAGGACTAGGGGATGATTTAGCAGGATTCTTTGCTAAGACTGACTTAGACAGGGGCCAAGACAAGGCCTGGTCAAAAAGAGGGTCCAGAGAAGCCGAAGTAAGTTTGGGTCAAGGAGAGTCTTTGTCAGGAATTATGGAACCGGGGGCTTTATCAGGACTCTTTCGTCCTTTGAGCACTGAAACGGAACTCCTACACACACCCTGGTCCATAACAATGGCTGGGCTCCGAGGTAGATTTCAGCTTTGAAATTAGTAACAAGAGAAGCTAGGAGCTGAATCTGCAAGAAATGTGAACTAAAGAATCAAGGACCCAGAATTCTAGGCAAGCTGACATTCACTTCCCACCTTCTTCTCCCAGAGAAAACCATCAAAAGGAAGAAAATCTCAATCCCTAATGGAAGTGAATGTCTAAAAAAAATTAAATAGAATCTGAGACCCAGGGGGGCGCCTGGGTGGCTCAGTTGGTTAAGCGATTGCCTTCGGCTCAGGTCATGATCCTGGAGTCCCGGGATCGAGTCCCACATCGGGCTCCCTGCTCAGCGGGGAGTCTGCTTCTCCCTCTGACCCTCTTCCCTCTCGCGCTCTCGGTCTCTCATTCTCTCTCTCTCAAATAAATAATTTTTATTTAAATTTTAAATTTTTATAAAAAAAAAAAGAAGAATCTGAGACCCAGGTTTGATTGGTATCATTGGTTTGGGTTCCCACTTGTTTTTATAATGCAACATACTAGAAATGGGAAAAAGCCAAAAGCAACAATGGGACCAGAAGATATGTAAGTATCTAGGACAATGTGTGACACAATGTAGTTGTTTAATTAGTATTTATTGAATAAAGAACCTCGAAAGTCCCTTGCTAGCTCCAAAATGCTACTCTATTAAGGTGAAGGGGCTGACACATGCCACAACACGGATGAACCTTGAGGACATTAGGCTAAGTAAAACAAGTCAGTCACGAAAGAACAAATACTGTATGATTCCATTTATATGAGGTACCTGGAATAGGCAAATTCATAGAGACTGAAAGTAGAATAGAGGTTTCCGGGGGCAGGGCGGGCGGGAGAATGGGGAGTTAATGCTGAATGGGTACAGAGTTTCAGTCTGGGATAACGAAAAATTTCCAGAGATGAATGATGGTAATGATTGCACAACCTTGTGAATGTACTTAATGCCACTGAATTGCACACTTAAAAATGGTGAAAATGGTCAATCTTATGATATGTATATTTTACCACAATTTTTAAAAAATTCTTAAACGATGTTGGGAGCCTTTTCGCTCAGGATGGGTTTTGTTTGTTTGTTTGTTTTTAAAGATGAAGGGGTACAGCTCAGTAGCTTGTTATGTTTTAGGGCAACATAAATCAAAGAAATAGTGCTCCAAGATCAGGATTAGAAAAAGGAATAATCACAACCCAACTTTGCTTCAAATCAAAGAGCTTTTAATGGTGTCTATTCCCCAAAGCCCTAATAGGGATGGTCTCGCACATGCTCCATGATTGTCTTCAAGCCAAGCCAGGTCTCTTCAGCTGTGGGCAAGATCTGCCTGGCTGGCAGGAGGAAACCATATCGACCGGTGTCCCTCAGTTCAAAGGCAAATGAGTATTTGATGCCATGGTCATATGACCAGTCAATGCTTCCTCCACTGGCTTGGTCTGAAGGGCAAATGAGAAAAAAGTCTGGTTATGCTATTCCCTCTGGCCTCTCCAGATATATAACCTCTATGTTAGGTTTCACCAATACCAAAGATAAGTCAGGCCCCTCTGCATGGTCCTTGAGAGCAGGGATAGCTTCATAGGGAGTCATGCTTATGAAAAAATATAAGATTAATTTGAAAAGCAAAAGGTGTTATTCAAATGGACGCTATACTTAGCCTTCCTTTGGCGTTTTTAGGAGCCTCTGGCTTCACCCACCCATTTGGAATCCTGCCTGCTCTCCCAATCGGCACCTTCTACACCTTAAGGAGGCCACACCACTTCCTTCTTTAGAGGAGTGCTAGATGTAGACATTATTTTCTCTTGTGGGAGAAGAAGGATTACAAATAGAGTAAGAGATTTGGGCTCTGCCCTCTGGGAACTTTCAGCATAAGGGTGGAGTACGTTTTATTCTGATATCAAATAATAGGCCCAGGACTTATACACGATGGGTTATACCAATAAAGTAATGTGCACCTGTGTAAATTTTGGCCGTTGACATGACAGATGATGAAGGAAGGTGGCATTAACCTACAAAGACTTATGACAATCATGACTCAGGAGAGCTGAGCAATGGACGGGCTCTGAGGCCCCTCCCAGGGAAGTTGGGTAGAGGTCAAATGGAAAAGTTGGGGGCATAGATGGAGGAAATTACCTAGCCCCTAAGAATGGGGCTGGATGGAGGGGAAGACCAGGGTGTTGTACCAGGAAGAAGTAGGATTAGTGGTTAACATTATAAATTAACACTATAAATGCCTGTGATTTGTGTCTTTGCCTTCACCCAAATGGTTGCTGATTTGAACTGAATCTTCCTGGGTACCAAAATTACTAACTTACGCTACCTGACTACAGCCTATCCCACTAAGAGGTCCATGGTGGACAGAACACTGGCTTCAGATTGAATCCTGATTCTGCAAATCATTAGCTGGGTCACCTAAGGCACTTACCTCTCTGAATCCCAAAGGTTTCATCTGTCAAATAGGCATAATACTATAGTACTTATTTCACAGGGAGAATTAAATGGGAGAACATTATGTGTATGGTTCCAACACTTGTTGAGCACTTACTAAATATGTTAGGTACTATGCTAAATTGGTTGATTTAATCCTCACATGGGTCCCAAGACAGATACTAGTATTATTCCCATTTTACAGATAAGGAAACTGAGGTTCCAAGAAATTAAGGGAAGGAGCTGGGATAAAGTATGTAGGATAAGCATTCAATAAAGTTCAGTTGTGATTATAACCACCATTATCAATAAACGACTAGGATCCTATCAAAAAAAAGCCAGACCACGTGAAAGGTAAGAGGTACCTGAAGGGGAGTAATCCACCAGGAAACTAACAAGCAACATTTATATAGTGCCTTACAGTTTGCAAACACTTTTATTCTACATCCTGTCTTTTGAGCCTCTCAACAACCCATTTCACAGATTAAAAAAAAACAAAGGAGGATGAGTGACCCACCTGAGATTACTCGGTTCCAAAGTGGCAGAACTATAACTCAAACCCAGGCCTCTATCCCCAAGGTCTGGATTTTTTCACCCTCCACCTCTCTGAGAAAGAATTCAAGTGACAACTTCGCCTATTGTAGTGCAGCTCCTCAGAGCCCTTTCCAGGTGAGAAATTACCCAGGAAATGTCTCGCCCACCACAGGAGTCCAGCCACCTCTTGGGTGGAGTGAAGCAGGTGTTCAGCCCAGAGCTACATACCAATCTAGGGCAGGAGGCAAAAAGTACTTAATTGGGACCTGTTCTTAGAGGCAGTGCTTGTCCATGCTGGCATGAGGCCAGAATCAAGGATAACAGAGTCAGCTCTGGGCAAAATGCAGCCCGAACTTACTTGACCATTAATGGTCAGGTTCCAAAAGATCACACAGCAAACCCTACACATGTCTGATACTTGCTTATTAGAAATATCTGTAACCTTACCAAGAGAAACACACTATACCTGAGCCTTCCGAGAATACGATGGTGGAGAGCACAGGATGCCATTCTGCTGACATTCTCAACTCCAGCCTCCACTCAGAGGCTGCCCAACACAGAAAGCATGCAACCCTTAGCCTTAAGTGGCCATCCTGGCCTTCCTCCCCAGCACCAGCAATCACAGGGCCCTCCTTCCTGGGGGTTCCTCTGCCAAAGGGGAGAACAATCCCCCATGGAACGTGGT